ATATTATATTATATTATATCAAACTAGTAAACAGTGCATTATGTGTACATAAAAGAAAAAGAAAAAGGCTAGGAACAGTTTTTAAAATCATTCTTACTTTATTTCCACTGCCTAAAGTATCGTAGATGTGCAGAAGGAACATCAGTAAAAGAACACGTAATTATTGTATTTCCTTTAAGAGACAGAAAAAAACGTTTTTCTTGAGCTATTCATTGACATCGATGATGACTGAGATTGTGATTCAACCCTATCCGTACGTCATGTTTTACTATCGTATCCATGCGACGTGGGGAACGCTGTTTCACCACTTTTCAAAAATGAAATTTACTTGTTAATCCGATCCGTTCGCTTTGCTTAGCAGTCTGTCATAATGATTTTTTTTAGAAATACTGAAAGTTTCAAAAAAATCTTCGCACTAGAAGTATTCTAAAATGTGAAGAATACAACCCCGGGGGTTCAAAAGGATCCCAGGGCGTACGGATATGGTTAAGCCACACAAGTACGTTTATAGGCCACAAGGCTTGCTTTAGATCTACAATATCTCTTTCTCTCTATCTCTTCTCTCTCTCTTTCTCTCTCTCTCCTCTCTCTGTCTCCCTGTCTCTCTGACTCTTCTCTCTCCCTCTCTCCCCCTTTCTCTCTGTCTGTCTGTCTGTCTGTCTCTCTCTCTCTCTCTCTCTTCTCCCGCACTCTCACCCCCCTCTCTTTCCCTCCTTCTCGCAGACACACACCACTACTCACCATTCAAAGGTGCCGTGCTCAGCCAGGTACTGTTGCATCCTCACCGGGTACTCGGCTATGGCAGATATCCCCCGCAGACCTATCATCACCTATACAGTTAATGGAGAGTGGGGGAGGGGAGGGGGGACACTAGATCTGGTTATGGTATATATTATAGTGGAGTAAAAAATTCGTGGCACAGCTTATCCTCAAATATCTTTTTAATGGGTGAATCAATGTTATCCATACTTTGAACTGCAGTTTGCATCAATTTGTCTTAACTAAATCATATTATTTTCCACAACAGTTAAGGCTAGATCTAGATTCTTTTTTAAAAACGTTTCTTCATGATTTTATATAAAATACTATAAATCTCCGTCACACGGAAAATGGGATTGTTAACAGCACTTCCTGTTTCTCACGCACATTTTGCATACGCATAATGACCTACGTCACAGCTCACCAATGACATTTTTTATTGGCTGAACTTGTTACAAGAAATTCATTATTCAGCGAACACATTTTTGCCATAAAGGTTCTCAAAACAAGCGTTCAATAAAGATAAAGGCACGATTAGAAAATAATGACCGGCTTGCTTTTAAAAGTGACATTGCCCCAGCTGTAAAGTGTAAACCTTTTAAAATCTGTAGAAACCACCCTTGGATATTATATTAGTGTTTATAAAGGCATTTTCTAGAATATAGTTAACATGTTTTTACAAAAATATTGATCTGTTCAGACAAATTGATACAAGTCATTGTGCAAAAGTTGGAGAGTCTATGTTTGATAGTTTGGGAAATATTTGACAATAAGTTGCGCCGCGAATTTTTGACCGCACAAAACGTGATTTAAAAAAAAGATCTGTGACTTGACTGATACTTAGGTACTGGCTTTTTTTAGTGTAGAATAACCAAAACAGTCAAAAGAACACCTACAGCAACAGCAACAACAACAAGAACAACAACAACAGCAACAACAACAACAACAACAACAA